TCCTTCCTTCCTTCCTTCCTTCCTTCCTTCCTTCCTTCCTTCCTTCCGTGTTGGGAATCTGTTAGGCCCAGAAAGAGCCTAAATATAAGAAGGTATGAAGAGAACTCAGGAATCCATCGATGCAAAATCGCAAGAGGTTCATTCTGACCATTGCGCAATGGGGTCACCCCTTCTGGTCAGCAAGGAGTGGCACTGGGAGACAAAGACCTTAGGTTTTTAAAAGACAAGGCACAGGGAATATTCTAGGGGTTGCCTTTTTGGCAATTCATGATTGGATGAGGTGTTTAACTTTTAAAATAATTGGTTGGTTCTGGGCACCTGTAGTTCTGGTCAGCCCTGTCGTAAATATCTGATCTTCAAGTCAGTTTGGAATTTCCTACCATATGAGATATAGCCACAGTTAAAGGGGGAGAGTGATTAACTCATCCCGTGTCTGTTCTGAGGAGTGGGGGTTACAGGCTTTGGATCAAAGGTCAGGAGAAGGATTGGGGCCATTTGGCCCAGTTTCCAAACAAAGCTCATCTCACAGTTGCCAGCTGGTGTGTTTCTCTCCATTTAGTAGAGATCTCTGCTTGTTCTCTTCCTTATCTCTGCCCTCACAGATAGCTAATGTCAGGAACTTTTACATTCCTCAGCTCTCTGGAGAAGCACTAAGAGGCTTTAATTAACATGAGCCTAAAACTTGAAAATATAAGTTATAAGGCAATTAAAGAAATACAGGTTACAAAGTTAGTCTGATTCTTTCAAATCAATCCCAGTAGCCTCATGCATGTTACGCAAGCATGTGACCACGGAGCTACACACCAACCCTGAGGAAGGTTTTAGAGACCAGATTCTTTGTTGTGGCTGTGCCAGTCTCTCCCAGCTCTTGCTTTAGCTCTCCAGCGAACACTGGTATCAATCACAGTCACGTATGTGTAACTGTTCAGACAGAGTGGCTGATGCATTCATTCAACCTGACACTTGCCACCTAAATTTGGTTCTTTGGGATTTTTTCTTATTTTTTCCTGTTGACCGAGCTTCTTTCTCTTATACTTCAATCTTAGGACAGCCTCTGTGCGTCTTTCCTCTGCTCTAGAGCAATGCTTCTCAACGTACCTCATGCTGCGGACCCTTTAATATGGTTCCTCATGGCATGGTGACGCCCCAACCATAAAATCATCTTTGTTGCTACTTCGTAACTGTCATTTTGCTACTGTTATGACTCATGATGCAAATACCTGCGTTTTTCAGTGGTCTTAGGTGACCCCTGTGAAAGGATCATTTGACACCATCCCCCAACCCCTCAAAAGAGGTTGAGGCCCACAGGTTGAGAAGCCCTGCTCTAGAGTCTGCTCATTTCTCAGGATGGTGCTGATGTCTGCCACTGGTTCTGATTCTGAGCTGATGTATGTCTTTAGATGCTCAAAGTCTCTAGAAAGTTCTGGTCCCCAAGTCTTTTTTTTTTTTAATTTCAGGAAATTTTCCTTAGTCATCCGCATTCCGTTCTCTTGCTTTGGTTTTATCCTTTGGGAAACCCTTTCATTTCTGTGTCTGATGGTCTTTTGCTCGCTTAGGTGTTCGCCTTTCTGTAGAACATTGCATTTAGTTATTTACCTATATATCTTTTGTTTGTTCTCCAAGTAGATTTCGTTACTGACTTTTTAATTCCATGTGCGTTCACTAAACTGGTTCTTTATCAGTGTGTTGGGGGTTGTATGGGTGGGTGTGCATGAAGTTGAGAGGGCAGTTCTGTGGAGTCGGTTCTCCCCTTCCGTGTGGGCTGAGCTTGAGTCGCCAGGCGTGTGCAGCGAGAATGTCACTGGCTGAGCCATCTTGGTTGCACCTAGTTAAGATCGATCTGACACGGTTGTAGGTGGAAGCGACATTTTTTTATTGTTTTCTGGTTGAGCTTGTATATTCTGTTTAAGTCATCACCTTTGAGTTAAAATTTGTACACCCATAGAACAAAATGCTCCCCGTGGGTGTATCCATGTAACCACGCCCACAGCAAAGGTAGGAAGCATCTCCACTAGCCACGGAGGTCCTCTCAGGCCACTTGACAATCAGTCGCCGGCCCCCAGGTCTGGACAGCTGCCCATCTGCCTCTGACACGGTGGGTCAATCTTGCTGCATGTGCCCAAAATTCTTATCAGTGGATTTGTGACCAGCTGTGGTGCTCCATGTAGCTGGGGTACCTGCAATCCCAGAACTAAGGAGATTGAAGCAGGAGAGTCGTCTGAGTATGAGGTCAGCATAAACAACAGAGCGAATTCCAGACCAGGCTGGGCTATCGTATAACGTCCTGGATTTGTGTGGTGTGCCCCTGGACTGGTTTTACTGAACACCTTTCTGGAATTCGCCCGTGTCTCGGCCTACATCCGTCCATTTCTTCGTCATCACTGAGTACTATTCCAATCGTGACTGTACTTGTATTCGCGTCATCATTCTCCCCTCAGTGGATTTTCAGGTTGTTCTCAGTTTGGGGGGGGGGTGTCAGTTTGCTGTGGCTGTTGTATGCTTTTGTTAGTACTCCCCCAAACTCATGTTCTCCTCATAGACAAAATGCACCCACAATGACTCTCTCAACAGCCCCAAAGATCTTCCCTCCCTCCAGCATCACTGTAAGTCCAAAGTTTCATGTAAATATTATCTAAATCAGGTGTGAGTATGATTTAGAATATGACTCATGCTGAGGCAAAGTTAGTCTCCGTCTGTGGATCTCAGAAACCAGATGAAGTCATGAGCTTCTAAGCTGAAATGGTGGAGCGTTTCCACATCCATTCCCAAGAGAGTGATCAATGCCATCAAACCTGGTGAGGCAACTTCCAGGAAGGTTTTTGTTTGATTCATTTTTTTTAAAGATTTATTGCTGGGGGTGATGACACAAGCCTTTATTCCCAGAACTCAGGAGACAGAAGCAGTCGGAACTCTGTGAGTTCAAGGTCAGCCTGGTCTACAAAGTGAGTTCTAGGACAGCTACGGCTACACGAAGAAAACAAATAAACAAATAAATCAGCCCCTCAAAAACAGGTGTGTGTGTGTATGTGTGTGTGTGTGTGTGTGTGTGTGTGTGTGTGTGTGTGTGCATATGTGTGCAGTACCCATGGAGGCCAGAAGAGGGCTTTGAATACCCTAGAGATGGAGTTGTAAGTGATTGTGAGCTGCCTGATGTGGGTGCTGGGAACTGATCTCTGGTTCTCGGCAACAGCAGCAAGTACTCGTTACTGCTGACCCATGTCAGCAGTAACCCAAACCCAGCCCCAGATTATTTGATTTTTGAAACAGGGTTTCACTATGTAGCTCAGGATGGCCTCAAACCTGAGAAATTCTACCTCTCAAATACTGGGATTAGAGGTATCTGACACCCTGCCCAGCTTTGTTGACATTTTTGTGTCCCAACCCTCGGGACTTTGACGGGTTCCTAAAGAAGGAGGTGGAAGGAATGGGGGGGAGGAAACAGGAAACACAAGAAATGAAGGCTAAGTCTGTTTGTCTGATCAAAGCCTCGTTTATTAGAAATTTTTACCCAATTTATATAGGGAGAAGGCAGGAAAGGGGGAAGGCTAAATTACTGCTGCAGGAGATAGCAAGAGTGCTTTCATGGCTTGAATATTGCACCTGCAAGATACCGTAAGGATGTTTTCTTAAGATATCTCACAGATGCTCTAAAACTAACAGACAGATGTCCTCACAAATCTATCACCCATGATTTAGGGTCCTAGGTAACTCTTTCACTAAATAGCTTTAGGTCTCCACTAAATGACTTTGCTCACTATTTGGCTTTGGCTTCAGTAAATAGCTTTGTCTCCACTAAATAGCTTTGGCTCGCTGTTTGACTTTGGCTTCAGCAAACAGCTTTGGCTCCTGGCATTTTTTGGTTTTTTTGTTTGGTTGGTTTTGTGTTGTAAGTAATGAATAATATTTGCTATTGATATATCTTCTGGTAATTGCTTGTTGTCCTCCTAAACAGCTGTATAACCAAATCACCACACAGAGACTGGGTTTATTTAGTTAACCTAGAACACAATGCTGAGCAATAGTTACTCCCTCTTAAACCCCTAAGCCCTCATAGTTTCCTAACATTTAGATTTCCCACATTATACTTGCTTTTTGTGAAATCTTAGGTCTGGTTCATGCTCCACGTCCTCCAAGATCTGTCCTCTAGCTCTGCTCTCCTCGCTCTCTCTTGCCTTTTCTCCTCTCACTCATTTCCTGCCCTCTGGCTCCTCCCATCTTTTCTGTCCTCTGGCTCCTCCCATTGTACAACATTGTGGCTAGTTGCTTTATTTTGTCCTGTTTACACAAAGTTGAGACAGGATGCTTAGAATAAGTATCACAATGCAATATCCAGATTGAAACCAGAGAAGGGGGGGGGGGGAAATCAGCATTTGAATGAACAAGGATAAGGTGTATACATTTCAAAAGAACATTATACCAACAGTTTTGGGTATTGGTTGAGACAGGGTTTCTCTGAGTAGCCTTGGCTGTCCTGGACTCACTTTGTAGACCAGGCTGGCCTGGAACAGAGATCCGCCTGCCTCTGCCTCCCTGAAAGCTCAGATTACTGCTTCCAGCTGTTGATATATTCTAGACAGGGTCTCCTCTCTATGTAGCCTAAACTGGCTTAGAACTCACCGTGTAGTCCAGGGCTGGCCTGGGACTCATGATCTTCCTGTCTCTGACTCCCAAGTCAGATGCTGTCCACCAATGCCTGGCTCCATCCAAGGACCTTGGAAACAATCCTTTTTAGCTCAGTGTTCTGGCCTTGTGGCCACTGGGCTGGCAGTCCTGAATTTTGAGTCCCACTTGCTGGCCCACTCTCCCCGTTTTTTGCTGTGGGCAGCCCTGTTCTGGCAATGACTGGGTCCCAGGGGTTGGGGAGACAGCCTTGCCTTCGCCCCATGTTGGTCGCACAATCATCTTTTCTTGTCCTAAACAATAATGCAGATTAACATACAAATAACTCTTTTGTTCCCCCTGGCCAACTTACTTCATCTTCTCTGGTCTCTGTGCCCTCAGTAATTCCATCTCCAGTTTTCTTTTCTGCTGAGGGAGCTGATTGCATCCATGTATTGCATCCACTCGTGAATTCTTTCCTAAAAATATTTATTTATTTCCGTGTATGTAAGTGTTTTGCCTGTGTGTGGGTAAGTGCTCCAATGCGGTCCCCTCAGAGGCCAGAAAATGGTGACAGATCCCCTGGTACTGGACTTACAGGTGGTTGAGCTGCCGTGTGGGTGCTGGGAACTGAACTTGGTTCCTTTGCAAGAGTAGAAAGCACTCTAGCCAGGCGTGGTGGTGCACGCCTTTAATCCCAGCACTTGAGAGGCAGAGGCAGGCAGGTTTCTGAGCCTGAGGCCAGCCTGGTCTACAAAGCGAGTCTAGAACAGCCAGCGCTACACAGAGAAACCCTGTCTTGGGGGGAAAAAAAAGAGTAACAAGTGCTCTTAACCACTGAGCCATTTCTCCAGTCTCAAAAATTCGTGAATTCTTTATCAAAGGATTTTCCAGCCACAAATGTTGATGTTCTCTCCAGAACACTTGTTTTGAGACAGGGATTCTTGTAGCTCAGGCTAGCCTTGAACTCACTAAATAGTGGAAGATGACCTAGAACTCCCTATCCTCTTTCCTCTGCTTCCCAAGTGCTGCAAGTTCAACTAACTTTCACTGCCACGTTCAACTAACTAACTTTCTTTCTTTCTTTCTTTCTTTCTTTCTTTCTTTCTTTCTTTCTTTCGCTGTATGGATAGGCTGAGGCTTAGGACTCATACAAATCTTCACGTTCTGGCTCCTTTTTATGTTAACAACCTCTCACTTTCTATAGTAGGCTAAAATCGGGCCACACTTTCAACGCTGTGCTTGGGTAGGCAGAGGGAGGTGGGTCTGTAGTTGACAGTGACATAGCGGGACCTCACCAGGATCAATCACCCTCTGCAGTGGTCTGACAAACGTCCCCCAGGCGTCGAGCAATTGGCCCCCGGTTGGTGGCGCTGTTGCTGCATCATCCTTACCTTAGCTTCTTACTCTCCCACGGCTCATCCATCAGGCTGTGCTTGACTTCCTCACGCTCCGCACCCGAGCTCTGAGCACGGTCCACAGGCTTCACCTCCTGAGTGTGTCCACCTGTTCTCACGCTCGACACCGCTGCAGCCTCCTGCTCCGATTTTAGATTCCTCTTTGAAAAGGCATTTTAACGTAGTATTGTTATGTGTGTGCGCACAGGTGTGAGTGTCGCAGTGCATGTGTGGAGGTCAGAGAACAACTTTGTAGGGTCTCCTTCCATCATGCGTGTGTGTGTGTGTGTGTGTGTGTGTGTCTGTGTGTCTGTGTGTCTGTGTGTATGTTGCGTCTTTTCTTTTCCTTTGTTTGTTTTTCAAGACAGGGTTTCTCTGTATATCCCTGGCTGTCCTGGAACTAGCTCTATAGACCAGGCTGGCCTCAAAATCAGAGATCCCCCTGCTTCTGCCTCCCAAGGGATCTAGCTAGCTAGTTAGCTACCTACCTCTCCGTCCATTTTAGAGAAAGGGTTTCAATATTTAGCCCTGGCTACCTGAAACTATGTAGACCAGGTTGGCCTTGAACTCACAGAGATCATCAGCTGTGATGTTCTGGGATTAAAGGCATGGGCCATCACACCCAGCCTCTACTTCCATCCTTACATGAGTTCTAGGGTTCAGACATATGTGGCCAGGTTTACCTGCAGAACCATCTTGCCAGCTCCAAGGGTGACCTACTGAAATTATGAGTTAAATCACCTCAGCGTGCCTTGACCTGTTCATGAAGCTCTAACAAAGAGCCTTAGCCTGGGTGAGTTAGAGATAGTGACTATTTATTTCTCGTATTTGGGGAGGCTAGGGAGCCCGAGGTCAAAGCACTAGCAGATGTGGTGTGTGAAGAGGGACACTCCTAAGATCACGCCTTCCATCTGTGCCCTTACTAAAGTAATATTTAGAAGGGCATCCTTACTAGGCATGTCGTCCTCATGATTTAATACCCAGAAGGCGCCCCTTTGGGGCTTAAATTCCAGCATTCATACCTTCAAACCTCAGCAGCCCCCATCTAAATGTTCAGTGGCTTCCCATCCCACTTTGGATAAATACACGCTCCTGACCAAGACCTTCCCGGCCCCTGACCTGACACCACCGCCCAGTCCCCTTCTTCTCCAATCCACCTGGGCCTCACCCTCCCTTACATACGAGGCTGTGGCTCTCTGGCTTTCTCACATTGCTCCGGATATGCCAGACTCCTCCTCGCCTGCCCTGCCGTGGATTCCATTGCTTCGGTAAACACCCTGACCAAAAGCAACTTGAGAAGAAAAGGATTTGTTTGGCTTATGCGTCAGGATGTCGCAGGTGATCGTGGAGGGAAGTTAAGGCAGGAACTCAAAGCAGGGCCTGAAGCAGAGACTGTTGGCGGTCTCATTCTGCTTCCTTACACAACACAGGACCACCTGCTGAGGAGTGGCTCCGCCCACAGGAGGCTTTTCCCCGCCCACATCAATCATTGGTCCAGAAAATGCCCCAAAGACTTGCCTACAAGCCAATCTGATGGAGACATTTTCTCCTTTGAGGTTCCCTCCCTTCCTGGAGGATCCTGGCTTGTACTACGTTGACAAAAACTGCCCAGCGCCCCACCTCAGGCCTTCGTTCTCCTGCTCTCCCCCTCCATCGCCCAGTTTCCTCTTCCTCCTCACTGGGGGGTACCATTTTTGAGCTGCGCTTTGAAAGCAGCCATGCTAATCATTTCATCACCGCCTCCACCAGCTCCTGGATTTACCCTGTGGTTGTGACGGCTATCCGTTGTTCCCTCCCATCAGCTATGAGTAGCTTGGGGAGGCAGGACCTCAGCCGCCATGCTTTGCTGGTACCTGGAATAGTGCCTGGGTATAGATCACTTCCTTGACCTCTGTGTTCTGAGGATGTAGTGGTCATACGAAGCCCTACGTGTCCGTACCCCCCCCCACCGCCACCATCCACTCAGCACCCAACATGACCCCCTGGCATACAGCAGGAGGCCTACGGATGCCTGAGCAAATCCACACACAGAAAATATCCACTAATATTAGCGAATGAGACTGAGGGGCAGCGTCCTGTGTGGAAGGACCCAGAGATAACACAGGCAGAGGCAGGATTCTCATCCACCTTTGTCTGCCAGTGGCTGCCTGGCTGGGCAGACGGACAGGCAGATGGACCAGAGGCCTCTGGCCAAAGGGTGGGCTATAGATTTGGTAGGTCCTCCTACCCAGAGAAGAGTCCATGGCCCACCGTCTTCTGTCTCCCCCTCAGCTTTTCCAGTCCCGGCCATTGGCAAAAGGTGGAGCGGTGTGCAGGGATCAAGGCTCTGGTGTGTCCCTTGATGTGCCTGAAGGGACAGGACCTGTACAACAAGTTCAAAGGTCGAGTGCAGGCGGCTGCTGCTGGGAGAGGCAGGTCCGTACCGGTGGAGTCAGGCTACCTGGATTACCTTTCTGAAGGTAGGTCCCAGAGCTGGAGAAGCACTTGCTGCTCTTGCAGAGGACCAGGGTTTGATTCCTGGTACCCCTGTCAGGCTCCCAACTCCAGTTCTATGGGAGTTGACACCTCCTGGCATCCTTTGCTACCTGCACACACACATACTTACACAAAAATAATAAAATAAATATTAAAGGTAGGTCAGACTGGCTTCTCCAGGCCAGAGGTCCAGCGGCTCACCCACCTCTGCCCGGGTCTCATGGCCCTTCAGCCTGGATCTCACTGTAGACGTCCAGGGGCAGAATGAACTTCTGAGCTCGTTCTGGTTGCCAGGCTGAGGTCCCTGACCCCTCCTCGCTTATCAGCTAGGAGCCTCTCCCTCCAAACTGCGGAAAATGCTTGCTTCTCCTCACGCCCGCCCCCTTCTTCTAATCGGAAGTGACACAGCTGTGCCCTAGTCATCTCTGCCATCTCAACACCTTCCCCACTGCTCTGCCTCTATCTGTTGCCAGGAGCAGACAGTCCTCTGCTTGTGAAGGCCCTGACCCCACCTGCATGGCCCAAGGCTCAAAAACCTTAACTGAAATTCCTTTTTCCACCCACCAATGGCACAGCAGACTGGCTGCACGCAGGGACTGGGACGGAACATCTTTGGCAGGGGTCTCACCTGTCGTGGGCTTTCTTGTCCACCCCCCAAAATAAAAACCTCACATCTTTTGCAAATGTAGAATTGTTCAGCCCATGTCAAGGTCCCCCCAAAATTGCCTGTTATTACAACATCAACTCACATCCCAAGATCTCCCAGCAGTGTCTGAACCCGAGTGTCGGTGTCTTGGGTGCAATCCAGTCAGCAGGGCTTCTGGGCACAGTTCCTCTCCACCTCTGAACTGTCCAGGCTGAAGGAAACCATCTCTGTTCCCTATGGAAGGAAGATGTGGGAGGGGAAGGAACAGTAACAGAAATAGAGACTAGGAAAAAAGGGGAAAGGGGGACAGTGGCAAACGCAGCTTTACGATCCAGCCAGGCCAACACGTGCCATTCAGGCGGCATTCTGAGCCAGTTCTCCCTGACTCCCAGTGACCCCACTTGCAAGGCAGGCTTCCTTCTCCGCCATGGGCCACAAGCGCCTGCAGCCAGGGAGGTTTGCCAGCCTCCCTCTTGTGAGCAGAAATGAAGCCAGCAGCTCTCTTCGATTTCGTACACAGAAGGTGTCTGGATGTAGGCGTCTCAGGAATTATGGGTCTCCTGCAGCTGCCTGAGAGCCAGCCCTGTGGGGCACCTGGTGTCGTGTCTGGGTGCATCGTGCTGGGTCGCTTTCCCTGGACATCTTTGACTAACCCAGATCCCACCTCCATCTTTCATCTTTCATCTCTCCGGGACAGCAGGAGACAGAGCTACATTCCGTGAGGTTACTGTTTGGTGTTTGCAGCTCCCCATGACCCAGACTTGTGTAAAGTCAGAAGGATCCAGACTCCCACCCAACATCCATCCGTTGCTAACAGATAGCGTCTAGGGAAGGTGTTCTCAACCTGTGGGTCTCGACCTCCACTGGAGCTGTATATCAAATGGTTACATTACAATTCATAACAGTGGTACGATTACAATTATGAAGAAGCAAAAGAAGTAATCTCATGGTTGGTAGGATCGGCATGACATGAGGAACTGTATCAAAGGGTGTCTCTCTCTCTCTCTCATTCTCCTCTCTTGTGTCTCTTCTTTCTCTCTTCTTTCTCTCTGTGTGTGCTTCTCTCTCTTTCTCTCTCTCTCTCCCCCTCCCCCTGCATGGCAGCCAAGAGCTGCTCCCAATAAGCGTGCATTTATACACCTAAAAAAAAAAAATTGAGCTGGTGAAGGCTTGGGAGAGAGTTCAGAGGTCAAATGCTTCGGTGAGCCGCCCCCCCCCCCCCCCGGCTCAGTGAGAGACCCTGACTCAAAGCATAAGGTGGAGTTCAACAGAAGGCGACTGCACACATCGACCTCTGACCTCTGCACATGTACCCACAGGCACTCTCGCCTAACACGCACAGGTGCATGCACAATGCATAACGCACGCACTGACGTGCCGTGACACACAGCGGGATTGTGCTGCCATCCAGGGTCGGTGAGAGGCAGGTGATAGGGCTGGCAGGAGCTTGCAGCACAATAGATACTTGAAAAATGCTAATGGGGCAGGACTGAGGCAGGATAATGGAAACACCCTCCCCCCCCCCCCCCCCCCCCCCCCCCCCCCCGAGGATTTTAACTGGTCGGTCCAATTCTGTTTCTGACAGTGGAGCTAGCCCCGCCCACTCTTGTGCTCACCCACACGGAGGCGATGCTGAGGGTCAGTGCCACCTACCAGCTGCCGCCTTGCATGCCTTCGGTGGACCTGAAGTACCAGGTGGAGTTCTGGAAGGAGGGCGTGGGAGACAAGGTAGGCGCCCTCAAGCCATCCTGAGCCCCGTCTCCTCCCCGATTTGGACAGTCCTTGGTGAGTGTACAGCACCCCTGGCCTGTGTCATCCTCGGCGATGGGAGTGTTCTGCTGAGGAGATGGAGCAGGAGTCACTCTGCCCTTCAAGGGACAGGCCTCAACCGCACCGTGGTTCGCACCGTGGTTCTCACCGTGGTTGTGAAAAGTATAGGCCTTGCCTTCTCGCGGCGGGGGTTGGGGTGGGCAGAGGCCCGGGGACATGTTCGCTTGACTGTGTCAGTCAATACCCACCTGTATATGTGTTCATGTGGCAGCCCCAAGGAATCCCCATGTAGCCCCAGCTGGCCTGAACTCATTATCTAGACCAGGCTGGCCCCAAACTCACAAAGATCCGAATGCTAGGATTAATACCCTTCCTTATGTTTTTGAGACAGGGTCTCTTGGGGAACCAGGCTCTCTAGATTAAGCCAGGCTAGCTGGCCACAAGCCTAGGAATGATGATCCTGTCTCTGCCTCCCTAGCTCCGGGATAACAGGCCCACCCACCTCTTTACATGGGTGCCAGGGATCGAACTTACGTCCTCAGACTTGCACAGAAAGCACTTCACTGACCGAGTCTCTCCCCAGCTCTTACCCCAGTAAAAGTGTGGCTGGGGTTTCGGACCACAGGAGACTGGTTCTCCGAGTCAGCAGATTTCATTTCAGAAAGCCCTGAAAATCCAAACAAGTTCCAAGCGAAGAAGCAGCACCCAGAGACGACCAGGGATGGTTCCTTGCACATCCAGTTTTATGACAGATTAGAAAACCACCAGCACGTTTGCCACGGTGGCCCCAGGGTCTGAGCGCTGCGGCTGTAACTCAAAAGTAGCCGCTTGGAGACAATATGGGGGAAAGCGGGTCTTGCGGGGTTCCTGTTTATAAAAGTGGGTGGTTGGGTGGGACCGGCATAGCAGGGGCCCTTACTCACTCTTCAGTGGCTCTTATTCACACCTGTGGTCCGAAAGATGCGGATGGAAAGTGGTTCCGCCCTCTAGAGTCTCATGAATATTAACATATCACACCATACCCCAACAACACATACATTTGTTTAAGTCTGGGTCTCTTTATGCAGTCCAGGTTAGCCCAAACCCAGTCCTCCTGCCTCAGGCTCCTGAATGAATGAATGTTGGAATTACAAGCACGGGCCACCATGCTCGGGATTAAATATGTGTGATTTTTGTAAGTCAATAAAAAAAAATGAATATCCTAACTGGCACTGTCCAAAAGAAGCATAATATGAGCCACACATGTCATTTAATTTGTTTTAATTGTATGTGTTTACTTTGGGTGTGGTTCTGTGGCGGGCACGTAGGCCACGGCGTGTGTCTGGAGGTCAGAGGACAACTTTAGAAGTTGCTTCTCGTCTTCCACTTCCTGGTTCTTAGGGATAGGACTCAGGTCATCGGGTTTGGCAGCAAGGGGTTTTACTCTGACCCCAAGTCGCATAAAGTCACTAAGCTACAGATGAATAGGTTTAGGGGGAGGGGAGGCAGTTGAGATAGGACTCCCTGTAGCCCAGGCTGGCCTTAAACTTGCTATGTGGCCAGGAATGACCTTGAACCCCTGACCCTCCTGCCTCCACCTCGGAAGTGTTGGTGTTATAGACGTTATTTTATTTTATTTTTTATTTTATTATTTTATTTTATTGGGTCTGAACTAGGGATCTTGCTACCTTTTATCCCACAGTATATCACCCTGTCAGCATGGGAAGAATATGACTGTGAGCTGCTCTACCGTCTTTTTCTCCTCTGTCCTTGGAATCTGATAGGCCTTTTGTCCACGGGGCAGGTCTCCATCCGTACTAGCCGCCTGCCCCTGCCCTGTACTGCACCAGGCAGCTGAGGCAGCTTCCAAGCTTGCAGTGATTGAGTGACGGTCGTCTCCCGTGCGCTCGGAGACCCGAACTGGAGGCCTGTAGAAACCCCTCTTGAAGTGGGGACCCCCCCCCAGGCCTTGGTGAGCTACACAGGAGTGACCCCAAGTAACAGGCTGCTTTGGAACGCCAGTGCCCTGTACAAGGAGGAGAAATGAAAGCCGCCCCGCCCCCCCCCCCCCCCCACTTGCCCCCCCCCCCCCCCCCCGCACGTACCCATCCGCTCTGTGTGTGCCCATTGCAGCCTTGCTTCTCCGAACAGGCCCTGTTTCCTGACACTCCACACGGCCAGCCAGTGCAGATTCCTCTCCAGCACGGTGCTCTCGGGCGCCACTGCCTCAGCGCCCGAACCGTCTACACCTTCACTGTCCCCAAGTACAGCCTCTTCTCTGAACCCAGCTGCATCTTCCTCAAGGCCCCAGGTGGGTGCGACTTCCCTCTGGGACTTCTGCAGTTTCGTGGTTGACTGGCTGGAAGTATAAACTGAGAGGAAGGTTCACGGATGGGGATCCCACCTCGAGCACAGTGACTGTGTGTCTCTGGGCAGCTTACACGACCTCTCTGAGCCTAGGTGCGCACCGGAATGGGCTTATTCCCTTAGCATGCTCACCTGAAGCCCCTGCTACCCTGAGGGACTGGAGCCATTGTTCTGTCTGCAGTTTCTGTGCTCTCTCCCCAACTAGGGACCAACTGGGCTGTCCTGGCACTGCCCTTCCTTTTGCCTCTGCTGGGAGCAACAGCTGTGGCAGGTGTGATCTGGAAGAAACTGGAAGGGGACCCCTGGTTTCAGTGGGTGAAGACGCCTCAAGCACTGGTATGGCATGTCCGGGTGGACAGAGGGCATGGAGGGGTGGATAGACGTGGGGGTTTGAGCAGCAGGAAGTGGGGCTGAGTTTCCGGTGCTGCACATAGAATATTGAACTGGCCCAGGCTGTCACATTGCCTCCATGTCTAAATTCCCACCTCTGGCAGTGCATTCCCCTCTAGCTGCAGACCCAACAGCAAGCTGGTCCGCCAGGGAGAAGTGCCTCAGTCCCTTCACCTCTGCTAAGGTTGTGTCAGCCCTGAGAGCCAGGAGAGAGGGCCAGAGCGTGTGGGGCGTGGCAGGTGGTACAGATGTACAGCATTGTTCAAGGCTCTTGACCAAGGCTGAGCATCCCCCGGTCAGTCTCGGGGTGCTAAATCCTGTCAGAACCCAGGAGCGAGCTGGGGGAAGGGGGAGACCTAGAGAAGTCAGAGAAGAGCTGGGACACAGGTGGTACTCTCAATATCAGGGAATGAGAGGCTTTGAGGACAGACTCCCCGTGTCCCTGTGTCATAGCAGGGAATAGTTTCAAAGACCTGTAGAGTATCCTCCCTCTCACCCCAGGCCAACTTTCTGGGCAGTGATGTCTGTGGTCAGTGCTTTGACTCAGTCCCGAGGCTGCCTATTCACAGCAACCAGCACCGGCTCCCAAGCCAGCAGCTAAGGACATCTCCACACCATCAGTAGCTCCCATAACACTCCAAGCAGCGGCCTTCTCTCATTGGCGAGCTCTGAGGTGCCTGTATGCAAAGGCTCCTCAGACCAATTAAGGATTTTGCTAGAGAACAGCCCCCTCAAGCAATACTCCTCTCCCCCTCCCCCCGTCCCCCCCGCGCACATGGCCCTGGTGTTCCCTGGAAATGCCTCCCAAAGGAACAACTAACGCTTGAGTCCATCTGGGCTGTGGCTAGGGGACCCCAGATTCAACCAGTCATTCTTCAAGAAGCCCAAATCATCTTCTCTCCCTTCTCCCTCCTACATCAGGATTTTTCTGAGTACAGCTACCCAATGGCAACCTTTCAGCCCAGTGGACCCGAGTTCGCAGGTGATTTGATCCTCTGTCCCCAGAAGGAACTGACCATAAGGATGAGACCAGTCCCCCAGGTCAGAGACCCCACCACACTACAGGCAGGACCAGAAAAGGACGGCATCGAGGATGAAGACGAGGACACCGATGACAGCGACAGCGTCCAACCCTACCTGGACCAGCCCCTCTTCCTGACGAAGAAGCTCCAGGTTACGGGACACACGGAGGCAGATGAATCCGGGGTGGACTCAGGGGGCCCTTGGACGCCCCCAGATGGGAGTGAAGGCTCGTCTGCCTGGGACTCGTCAGACAGGAGCTGGCCCAGCACTGTGGACTCCTCACTCACAGATGAAGTTGAATCTTCCGGCTGTTTGGACACGAAGGAAGCAGACCAGGAGCCTGGTGGAGATGGGCACCCGGAGCCTCTCCGGCGCCTGGAATTTTCTGAGGACTCAGGCACTGTGGAAGAACTCCTGAAAGATGACCTCTCCGGGTGGAGGATTTGGGATTCCTTACCTCCACCGAAATTTCTGGTTCCTGGGGAGCCCCCAGTTTCTCTTCAGATGCTGACTTTCTGCTGGGACAGCAATCCTGAGGAAGAAGAGGGTGAGGAAGAGGAGAAGGAGGAGGAGGAAGAGGAGGAAGAGGAGAAGGAGGAGGAGAAGGAAGAGGAGGAGGAGTGGGAATCAGAGCCCAAGGGCAGCAGCGCTGACTGCTGGGGTGCTCCAAGCCTGCAGAGGACAGAGGACAGATGTAGGATACTGGGAGACTACATGGCCAGGTGAGCTGGCCCTGGCGGTCCATCCATGCTACCTCTAGTGCACTTTCCAGGGACCAGAGACATCCCCAAGACTCATGTTCCTTCCTGAGATAGCCAAGGTCCTGGCCTTTCCTGGCAATCACTCACAGGCACTTGGTCACTTGGACTGAGCTGTAACATGTCACCGTTTCCAATGACCCGCCTGCTGAAGGTGACCTGTGAGAGGGATGGAGCTGTGGTCAGGGACTAGCTGAGTTCCAGTCTGCCCACACTGTCCCAGGATGACAGACCTGGTAAAAACCATTCTTGGACAGAATTAAACCGGGGAAGCCAGGTGACCGTGGACACCAAGGATGGCCACGCTCTGGTCCAGAAGCCATGCAAGGCACTTCACAAAACAGACCTCGGTCCAAACCCCAACTCTGCGGTTTACCAGTGGTAACCTGAGCAAGCCACTCCTAATCTCAGTGTCCTCTTCTGCAGCTGTCACATGGGCATGGTGAGGATCAGGCAGTTTCAGGTGAAGTGTCATTTGTACTGTGTGAGCATTAGGATCCGTCATCTATCCAGACTCCTGGGAGACCCCAGTCTTCTCTCACCAACGATGAGTGACAAGAGTGACAAAAACACCTACCTTCCAACCTGTTTACCCTCTGGGTCATCCCATTTCTTCCCTGTCACCTTTACACCTTCTAGTCAGGGCCTCCCTGAAACCAAAACCCAACCAACATTGCGTCTTTCTCAAACACAGCCCACCTTCCAAGACCCAGGTTTGGTGGGGCAGGACAGACATTGCACGCCTGGCTTGGTGTCCTGTTTGAATGGCACTGTGACGGTTTTGTTTCCTTTTACCGCTGGGGTCAAGATGAGGTCCTGGCGTTTGAGAAACTAGTGTCTTTAGGAATGTTCAGTGTGTGTCCTTGGCCTGCAGGGGAGCAGAGCTGTCACTTGCAGAACCAAAGTCTTTGTGGCTGAGGATCCAAACAGTCCACGAGTCAGAAAAGAGCCCACAACCGCTTTACCCATGGTGCTGTGCGGTTTTGAGACAGGCCACGGCCTTACAGAACTCATCTGAGAAAACACCTTAGGGCGGTGATTCTCAACCTTCCTCATACTGTGAACCCCTTTAGACAGTCCCTCCTGTTGTGGTGACCCCCAACCATAACATCTTCTCATTGCTACCTCATAACTGTAATTTTGCTACTGCCAGCAACAGTAATGTTTTCCAATAGTAGTGTTTTCCAATGGTCTTAGGTGACCCCTGTGAAAGGGTCATTTGACCCCCAAAGGGGTTGCAACACACAGACTGAGAAATGAGGCCTTCCGGGCATCTGATCCTCTGGGGCTCCAGGATCCTCCCCTTCGGCACCCGTAGCCTTGCTGAGGTGGCTTTGCATAGGACGTGTGTTGAGGGTCCCCAGCTAACAAAAAGTTCTTAAAGCGCTGTCCTCGTTACATATCTGCCTTGTTTCCAAGGGCCTCGGGTGCAGCAAGGCGGCTTTTTTAGGTCACCTGACTTATGTGTGTCCCCAAGAGTCATCTAACTGACAGGAGGCCTTTGTGACCACCTCTGCGACACACACACCTACCTCCCTGGGTTTCCCTGCAATGGTGCTTGACATTATCATTGAGCCCACAAGAACAAACGCATGTGTGAATAAGGCCTTAGCACAGGACCAGCTCCCGGAAACCGAGGCCGGTGTCCTTTCTCCCAGCCGAGGCCAGTGTCCTTTCTGAGCTGCTCCGCAGTTGCTCTGCCAGAAATCCTTTGAAGTGATCGGCAGGCAGCATTGTCCGTCCTTTCTGATTGTCTGCCTTATTGTTTAAAAGAGCGTTCCCCAGTGTTTACTTTCTGATCTAGCCTGTGCCCTTTAGCCACTCAAATCCCAGCTCCTTTCAGCCAGCACGTCATTGACAAAAAGCCTGTGGGAGGCCCAAGGAGAGGGCGTGATGATCAACACGGAAGTTCGTGACGTGCGCTGAGCACTTCGCTTACATAATAGCCCTGTACGTAGCATCTGGGGACTACAAGGACATCAAGGTCAAAAACCCGAGTTGCAGTGGTGTGCGGTTCCAGCACACTGAGGCTGTACACCCTCCTTACACATTTGTATTCTTTGTCCAGGTTTTGCACTGTATTTTATATCCTATTTAAATGATACACTAATATCTGTTGGTATGACACCCAAAACCTTTAAATAAAGAGATCTATTTTTAGAGAAAAAAAAAAGAACTATCATTGGTGGACACTGGTATGCGTGCAGCAGTTTGGAATGCAGGGATCTTGGACTGAGTCCCCAAAAGGAGACCCCGAGAAAAGGGTCTGGGGTACACCGCTTCCAGATGACACCACAGGATAGTGGGGAATTGAGGGGAGAAGGGCGGGGAGGTTCAGAACTAAACAGGTCCCTGGTACCTCCACATCCCTGGGGAAGCTTCTGATGTTGGTGCCTGGCCCATCACATTCAGTCCCCTGCAAGGACAGGAGCTGGAGGACTCGGCCACCGAGCACCGCTAACCCAGGGCCTCACATGTTCTAGGCAAGTGCGCTACCACTGAGCAGTATCCCCAGGCTGACGCTTACTCGCTGCCCCGGGAGCTCACCCGGTGGAGATGGTGGCTCACAGAAGGATGTCTTGGTGTGGCGACCCTAAATCTCACTGCAGCAGCCCTCCAGGAGGGCGCCAGCCTCCGGTGGCACTCCTGGCGACACCCGGGGATTCCGCGGCGTCGCACCTGCAGCAGGTGTCACCACAGACTGCTGGCGGGCAGACCCAGACACAGGTTGGGCAGATCCAAGTCTCAGCTCAGTCTTCCTGACCTGTGAGCAGGCCAGGACAAGTGCTACAATGCTTTCCCACCTCTGTACTGAGTACTTGCTTCCTACACTGAGGGGCAGGATGGCTCAGTCCACAGCAAGAACGGGGTCATTGGGGTGAAATGTCACAATGTGGTGCCACAGAGGCCAGATGAAGGTGTCAGATCCCCTGAAACTGCAGCTGCCGGGTGGGTGCTGGGAGCTGAGCCTAGGTCCTCCAGAAGAGCAGCTAGTTCACGTAACCCCTGAGCCATCTCCCTGTGTCCTGGTTTTAAGCCAGTGCCATCACTTTAAACACAATGGCTTTCCAGTTCACAGGCAGTGAACAGCACAGTTTTCTGGAGAGCAGGCCAGATCTTCCTTTTCTGGTGACCCACAGCCACTCTGAGCATCTGGGCTTGTGTGCGGGCACCTCCTGATGATGGTGGGATGGTGGGACTGCCCGCTCAACTGCCCATTTCAGCCCCGCTTTGGCAAGGAAGGGATTATGTGGACAGTCGTATCAAGGTTTCAGCAGCTCGCCCAGGCTGAACAGTTGACACTGGGTAAATAAGGGAGACGAATAACAGGATCCCTAAGTAAGATGCTGGCTGGAGGGAAGGAGAGAGTCGGAATAAGAAAAGCAGACTTTACTCCAGACAGAAACAGAGGAAGAGCTTCAGGAAGTCACAAAGGAAGTGATACTGGGAAAGAGCAGGCCGAAGAGAAGAGTGATGGGGAGAGGTGAACTGAGCGGTCTCAGCCGTGCCATCCCCAATAGGGAGAGGGGGGACAAGCCCCTTCTACAGCAAGCTGCCTGAGAGCCAGGCAGCCCTACCTCAGGACATGCTCAGGGCCCTCACAAACCTCAAATCCAGCATTAGTGATGCCTGGTGAGACAGCGATTCTCTGGCCTACAAATCAGCGACAGAGGATTTGGTCACACCATGCTGAGAGAGAATCTGTTTAAAACACACACCCACACACACAGAGAGAGAGACTTTTAAATAACAGCCTAAAGAGAAAGAGTCCAAAGGTTCAGCTGACCCTCCCTTGGTGGACTATGACTCGGTATGTATGGAAGCCAAATGAACCCTTTCCTCCCCGAGCTGTTTCATCACGGTGTTTAATCACAGCAATAGTAACACCAACTAAGAGGCTGGCCCAGCCCCTCTCCTTTTTAAGTCTTGATTTCCCCCTTGTTACTCCTTTTTCACTCCCTAGAAGTTTAGCAGGAGTTTGGCTTTAGCATATATTAAAAAATGAAATGTCGAGTCATCTGCCTACCACAACGCAGGTGGCTGAAGGCACCCAGAGGTCAACCTGCCACGGGGCCCGCCTGCAGCAGGAGCCAGGACAGCCTGCAAGTATGCGGTGGGGAGATGGGAGAGAGAGCGCAGCAGAAAGGTCTGAGCACTGTGAAGGGAGGCAGAACTGGAGACGCAAGGGCAGAGAGAAACAGCCTGATGTGAGTAGCCTGCCCTGCCACCTGAGGCCATGGTGAAGTCCCAGCCCGTGCTGCCACTGAGGGACATGTCTCAGCAGCAGGAGTCATTGTCAATGTCCGTGGCCTGTGTTACCACCAAAGGCCATGCTGACGCCCCTGACCTGGGCTGCCTCCTGGGACCATGTTGATGGCCAAGGGCTGCACAGAGGCTGGCCCCGCCCCTCACGAGCTACAGCACTCAAGAAAGACAACACACACACACACACACACACACACATCAAACAGTAGAGATGGCCCTGGTGGTGGCGACATAGGTGAGCTGACCCCCAAGGGCATGAGTGCAGGGAGCTGACCCCTCCCTTCGTCTGCCATGAGGTGGTGTGGACAAGTGAGAGATGCCCTCCCCAACCCAACCCCCACCCCCACCTCCACCCCTCACCACCTACCTGTGGCAGGGGAGAGATCTGGCCCCGAGGTCAGGAGAGCTAGCCCTGCTCCTTGCTGGCTGTGGCACTGGGTGAGTGCTGAAGAGCTGGCTATGGTGGTGTGGGTGCGGGAGAGCTGGCAGGCCGGCCAACTCAGCTACCACCCAGGCCCAGGTCCAGGGCTCTGAGTTGGCCCAGCCCAACATCAATGAACCGCTGCAGTTTGAAGGGGTCGGTCCTACAGATCCAGAACTACAGGATCTCCATGACCCAGGGCAAGAACAGGACATCGGAGAGGATCCAGTGAGGATCCAGTATTGACAGTGTAGCAGAAGCCAGAGGTCCCAAGCTAGACCAACGACTCACTGCAGTGAACATTTGCAAGAAGGTGTGGACAGAAGGGGGCGCTGTGGGACACACTGTGACTCACTACAGCTTCCACAAGAAGACTGTTGTTGTTGGTTTTCATTTTTATTTTTATTTTTTATTTTCTTTTAGGGGAGAATTGCAAGACCAGAAGGCAGATATAAAGGGACTGGGAGATAAGTGGGATTGGGATGCCTGATATGAAACTCACTAAGAACTGATAAAAAGTTCAAAAACTGAAATGTAATGTTTTTATCATCATTCTCCGTCATACACAAATCTAATTTTGTTTACGCATTTTTTTCTGTTGGGCAATGATATTTTCCCCATAGTTTCTCCCTCTTTCCCCATGTTTGGTTTTGTTTTTTAAACCTTGTTGGTCTTTAAATTTTAAATAATTTGTGTGTGTGTGTGTGTGTGTGTGTGTGTGTGTGTGTGTGTGTGAGCCCAGTAACGTCAGAAGAGGGTCAGGGCCCCTGGAGTCAAAGGCTGGTGTGAACCACCTCGTGGGTGCTGGGTTCTGAACCCAGGTCCTCTGCAAGAGCAGTAAGCATCCTAACCTCTGAACTATCTCTCCAGGCCTCGCTGCTCCCTTTGAAATGTTAGTTTTTAATTTTTGTCCCCCTTCTTGCATTTATCTAATCTTTATTTTTGAATGTCCTCATTTACTGATCTTTTTGGGTTTTTTTTGTTTGTTTTTTTTTTTTCCCCTGTTGTTCCTACTGTTTCTAACCTCAGGCTCTCTTCTCTTTCCCTGACTTCTCTTTCCTCCTTGGGCTTATTGAACCCTTTGTCTCTTCCTCCTTCCAGTTCCCTGCCTCCTGCATGGGTCTTACCTTGCTAACCCTCTCTAACCTGTAACCCCACATCATCCTCTGTGGTTTCCCCCAGGCCCTGGCAACATGTTGGTGGGCTGTCCCCAACTCTGAGTGTATTTCCACAGTTCGTTTTCTCCTTGCCAAGGGGTGCTGGGAATTGAGCCTTCAAGAGAAGATTGCTTGATGAGCTCCTGCCCAAAACCAGGTCTATCCAAAGCACCCGATACAAAAATCATCACAAGGCAGAAATGCAAGAATGTGGAAAAGCAAGACAGCTGGCTCGGCTTCCCCAGGAGCTCTTAGCTCCACAGTGGCTGGACTCAGACACACTGAGTTAGGTCGAATGTCAGGTTGAGTGATTCACAAGCTTCCTGGTAAAAATGATGAATGACCTGAAAGAGTCATTCACACATACAAGCAGCCGAGTCCTCTCCGGGTCCCGAGAGGAAGGTCAACAGCACCTCCTCCACCCCTGATATCTTCCCTTCTGCTTCTCTCAGTGTGCAGGTGACACTTCCTGCTGGTTTATTATTATTCGATTCACTGAATTTTTCATTTCCAAAATGTCTATTTTACCCCCAAATCTGAATTTTCTTGCTGACTTTTTCTTCCATGCCATTGACCTGCTCAACACTTTTGTCGATAGGAAAGAAACACAACTCCAGACCTGCTTCAAGACTAGTGTGCACACATAAGATTCTTGCAAGCTGAGGGCTGGAGAGGGCAAAAGCAGAAGGGACCAGGGTTTGGTCCCAGCATCCATATGATAAGCTCGGCAAACATGGAGGCCCCTCCGTTATCTCAGCATTCAGGAGGCAGAGACAGAGGATTCCCTGAGCAAGCTGGCCAGCTACGCTAGCTCCAGGCTGGAGGAGAGGCTTCATAAACAGAGATTGAGGAAGACACCTGATGTCAACTTCAGACCTCCGCACGTACACACATGCAAATGCACACGCTCCCACAGATGTGTAAATGGCCACACACACCACCACCACCACCCGTGCCAAAGTAAGTGAATAAACTGAATAGATGAGTGAGTGGGGGCCACTTATCTGAGGTTGTGATCTAAGACAGGCTGTGATCCCCCAGTCCTCTCTCACATACGTGACTGTCCTCTGTCATACACATCTGTTCTAGGTGGCGGGGGTGAGGGGGAGGGATGTCATCTGCTCAGTGATCACAGCGCAGGTAGGGGGAGCAGGAGACAACTCAAGACCTTCATTCTCTGACTGTGCTTATGACTGTACCATGTGACATAGCATTGTCCCTATGACCCACAGTGCCACCAATGTCTGCATGCTACCGTCTTCTCCGAGCTTCTTCCCATGTGTGCAAAGTGATTCCATTTCCTCTAAAAAGAAAACACACACA